CAATAGCACAATATAAAAGGTAGTTTCTGGTGGGGACCGCCGCTAAATTAAAACTTAATATTTTTGTCTCAAAAGAACGAAATTCGAACGTTTTTTTTAATTGTAAAATGATCTTATACGACCACGGCTGAATAAATACAAATAAATCTCCCGAATTTCCAAGATTGATAGTATCCTATTAACGCCTATGTTTTAAGCAGCTTTTAAATAATTTTGAAACTGTCTAACATTTTAACTAAACCTTTATTGTCTAGCAATATAACTTAACATCTATCCTACATTATATCACTATACATAATAGATAATGTCAATAATGCTATATATAACTGCGACTTTTTTTAGTTAAAAATCGTACTAAAATTTGAAGTATCATGGTTCTAGAGTTATTAATTGTTTTACAATAAATGCACTATGGCAACTATTTAAATTAATAGTAATTGGAAGAAGCACTAACAGCAATTATTAAAAAAAAAAACAAAACTTAATAATGAACTCCTTTGTTCAGATAATAAATCTTGTAATGCATTGTGACAGTACACGTCGTGATAGCGAGGGCAAATGCCCGGGGTAGGGTCACAGTCGTGTCCATTCCGTGCCCGTTACCGTGCCTTATGAGGACAATGACTATTTACAACCCTATAACTTAGGTGATAAGATCTAATAGAGGATGACTTGCGATTTTATTTACGCTGACAACCATTTTGTAGTGTATGCCTTAACATTGGATATCTGACTGGTCGTTATGAAAATGCGTAATGCCTTATGGGGACATTTCACTGTGTGGTCTTATTGTTATTCTAGCGGTTACAGCTAACCTTTAAGGTAAAAGTTTAAGGTGGCCTTTGCGTTTAAGTTTATTGCTAGTACCGTGACGGGGTTTGAAACTCGTTGATAAAACGATAGGGTTATTAAAATTGTTTTATTAAAAAAAAAAAAAAAAAAGAATAATCAAAATGGCTTCGAATCACTTGATTACATTAAATAGACGGGTGGATAAATCTATTCTAGATTCAATAAACTTCATATGAAATTGTGCACACAATTTATTACTGAAATCAATTAGAAATTATATCTGGCTTCTGTTTAATATTATAGTAATAAAAGATTTAATTAAGGCGAAGATACCTTAAAAACTATGAAGCACTGATTACAAAACTTCTAACGTAATCGAGACGCCCCGTTAGATGAGTGTTCCATTCCAAGAATCTTTCAGATTCAGAGACACCGCGATGCGTCACTATATCCTCAAATAATGTACTGAACATATTCACTTTTTGATCTCGTATCGGAACATGAAATTTTTGTTGCATAATTCTGATAGTCATTCGATTTAATTTTCAAAACATTGAAATTAGTAACATAGGTATCCTCATGTTATTAACACCCGGTTACTGAACTGAGAATTTGAATTTAAGCACTTCTCAAACCGTACTTAAATGTTACTTAAATAGATTTTCGTTTCTGATTTTAGTTTTTTTTTTTTATGATCAGTTGATAGCAGTATGATAAAACTAGAACTATTGAAATTGTAATATGAAAAAAAAAGTTATGGACTATATTAGTTAAGATTTGCACTTTTCTGAAATCAGAAACCAGCCGTAAGTCTTATGTTTCATTTGGTAAAACGATGAGTGATGATTCTAATTTTTATTTTTCCAAAGTTTTAGAAGTACGTACATACTTTACAATTTATAGATATTATACCTAGATATATTTTGATTTACAAAATAGTCATATAACATACTACGGAATTATTGCCGTGTCTGTCTTTTCCACTGGCTTTTACGTGGAATTTCATAGTATATGTTAGAGTATTAAATTTCTTCAACACAAAGACGAGGCTCAAATATTTATCAAACAATTTCAACCGCTTGGAAATCAAAGTATACATAGTTTGTAGAGCTTTACAAGTACGCGTATTATACGCGGCGTATTATAAATAAGTTAACCAATAAATGCATAAGTTTACCGAGTTTTTTAATATCGCGTAAACATATTAAGATAAAAAATCTTTACGAGCTTACGTTGTTGAGATAAGAGGGATTCCACCGAGGTCAAGAAATGACTCATGATAATGACAAAACGAGGTAGAAGTGGCCTCCTGACTTCCTTTCATTTATTATCGTTCTTTGCATCTGACTCATGCGTTATTTCTCATTTCTTTTTATTTATTTCTTTTTTTCGAATAGATGATGAAAGATAACGTTGTGGAAGGAATTATTTAATACTGTTCATTTTTCAATTCATATCGTCGTTTCTTGTTTCCATTGATGAATAAGTAATATAGAAATGTGACTGTAGGATATAATCTGTTTCTGTTTTTGTATTTTTGCACATTGTTATTGTTTTACGGGCCGAAGTATAAGCTTGACCGAGATAATAAGCGGAAATAATGATGTGGAAAACACTTGATAAAATGACGATAGGAGTCTGTTCTTAGGATGAATGACTATTAGTCCAGTGCTTCCTAATCTGGGGGATTACCCCTAGATCATTCATTCCACTATAGAATATCTAAATTATTAGTTATTGGGTAACAAAGAATAAATTAAATAAAAAATAAAAATAAAACCACATCAGTTTGTCGATAACGCCGGCATTTATACTAATACTTTTATTTACTGGTGTTTGTAAAATAATTATAAAATTGCATAGGAAATGCAAAATTCCAAATATAAATAATTATGGGATATATAGTAAGTTATGAGCCGGAAATTACTTCGGCTGTGAATTTAAAATAACGACTATAAGAACTTTTAAGTACATAAGAAGGGTTTCTCGCTTTTATCGAATCATGTACACGTAAGGAAAATATGCATGTTAAAAGTATATACCTATGTCAGCTGTATCTTTTTAATGAATTTCTAACCAGCATTCCAACTAAGATCATTTTTGTGAGAATAAGCTTTCCAACAGCGGATTTTGTACGAAATTGGGTTCTTACTGCGTACTGTTCTCTGTATAATATTAATTTGGGCTATTACTCAAATTGCAATTTTAGTGTAGATTTACTCTAACGCTAAATCTCGTTCACATAAACGGTATCGGTATTTGATGATAGTCGGTTTTTTAACGCTAATCTAATGTTTGCATGCCTGTCAATCCTCGAAGCTCATTGAAAACCGTAAGCTATAAGGAGTGATCGATCAAACCTTTAAACGTATAGGTGGATAAATTATCTGTTATTATTAACTTTAATTATCTGTGCTTGGAACACAGAATCAGGTAGGTTACAATAATATGTGACATGTGATAAAATTGCGATAACTCTTTCAAAGAAATGATCATTCTGCAAACGTAGGATCTGGCGCCGACATTCGAGATTTCATTGAACAAGTTTTGTCGTTTTATCTATGGATACCCCAGATCAATCTGAGATCTAACTGCTAATGAAACATCAATGTGGACCAAAGATTCCAAGTAATCTCGCTCTTCTAACTCAGCCGTGGGAACTAAATCCCTTATAAAGTGTTTATAAACACTTTGAGAAGTACATTGGCCAAACATTGATGGAGGTAGCTGAATATCGGGGCACAATTCATATGTAGCCTGCTTTGCTTGAAATTATTAACCTACATAAGACCAACCTAATTATGAATGAGTACATAGGATGGGTGACCAAAACTATATCATTTAATTTTCTTCGTGCTTCGGAAGGCAGGTTAAACCTTAACTTGCTTCTGCGGTTGTTGACATCTACCAATCCGCATTGGGACGCGAGCCCGATAGGTGGGCCCCTTCTGCCTATATGATTTTATCCCCTGTAGTGGGAACATGAGATCAAAAAAGAAATAGATTCTGAGGTCTGGTCTATCTTGACTTTTACTTCTTTACTAAAGTCCAAAAAAGGTTTTCCTTTATTAATAAAAAAAATATAACAACTAAATAGGTACGTAGGCGTTCATATCGATTTCGCTTTTAAAAATATTTATTTTTATTTATATGTAACGGGAATCAGTCAGTATAGGGCATAATATTTTTTCTTTCGTTAATCATAATTACAATTAGTAAGTTGTTTTGTAAAAACTATGTAGAAATAACACGTCCCCACCGTAATAAAAATCGTCTCGCAAGTGTCGGTCGTAATGTAACCCTCGCAATATTTCGCTGGTGCGCCAACCAGGGGCGGTTTAGTGCGCCACACCGAAATCAAGCCATATCACAATGCCACACACGAAAAGAAACACAGTTTATTATTTAACAATGCAAATAAGAAGAACTTTCAGTCATACATACCCTCAAAAAAGGACAGATTTCGCAAAATTAATCGATCACATGTGTAACACACGAAAATAAATCGAATAAAAAATACAAATTATAATAGACGCACTCAAACTGGTATTTTATTTGACAATAAAACACTACACTTTAACTGCACTTGGGTAACGTTATGTATCAATTTATATTTTTATTAGAATAAAATTAAGTGGAAAAGATATTTCCAAATACAAACGAGACGAACACTCCCTCCGATTTTTTTAGTCATACTGAGTGAATGGTTAAATTGTAATGAATGAAAGAAGAAAAAATGAATGAGCGGCAACAATACTGCCATCTACCAAAACTATATTGCAATATCCTTTACGTCGTGTTCAGCGTCATCTTTCAGATCGTTCCTGACTTTCAATCAGCTTCTAAATATTGCAAAGGTGCTACTCAAACTTTCACCTAGATGGCGCTAAAAATTATGTTCGGATACATTTGACATAACATTTATGGCAACGTGTTTCACTTCCTCACTCGTATCGTAACTTAATTAACTAATGTAGTTATTAATTCCATTTATTATAAAAATCACTCTGGCTGTACTAGAGTAATCTCCTCAGTATAAAGACTTCACTTATACAAATATCTATTAAATTAATAAACATTGACTATGTACATAGTCAATTTATAAATTATTTTTAATCGACGATTCTCATGATGAATCTTATAAATTTTTCCATTTGGTTGAGAGAGAGTATCCGAACGAAGTTCATTGTACCTAATTCGTAAAAACTTCACCCTTCATTCCTTTCCTGCTGGTTGTCATTTTTGCTGTCATTATTTATAACGTCAAAAATGGAGGAGGAACGTTTGTTCGACGAAAGGGTTTCAATTAGAGAATCCGCTCGACCATTAAAAAAATATGGGAGCACATGCAATCATATGAAAAGAAACGAAGAATACATCAAACATGTAATGTCAAAAGGTGATACCTTGCAAGGAATTGCTTTAAAATATGGTGTAACTGTAAGTGTGGAATCTCTTTAAATGTTATTATCTTGTTTATTTAACAAATATTCCATCAAATATTATTATTAAAGTTTCTTTAATGGCTTTTAGATGGAGAAGATAAGAAGAGCAAATCGACTGTTCGCGACAGATAGTTTGTTTTTGAGAGAATATTTATTGATTCCTGTGACCAAAGATTCTCCTTTCTATGAGAATGGAGAGCGCGTGACTGAACCACCTGTGCCGAGTCATCGAGCCTCTATCGCTGGAATGCCTACTAGAGATTTCTCCCCTGGCAGTCCTGATGAAAAAAAGAGTTTTGATGAATTTTTAACTAGACTGGATTCTTCATTAGCTGACATAAAGAAGCATGTAGAAAAAACGAAGGAAAATAGTGAGTGAGTATGACCTCCAATGTTTATTCCATCTACATTAATTTAAAAAAAATTATATGAGTAATTTTCTACCTGTAAAATAAGGAGGAGTGTTAAAAATTTGTTGAGATTATTCTGGAATTGCTTTTACCAAGGTAATAATTACGAAACAAAATATGTCTAAATCTCTATTATGATAACTTTGTTTTCTGAGTGTGATAAGAGGGTTTTATTAAATAATTCTGTTGTAGACATCATCTTTTACGTATTGTGTTTACATTGCTAATGTCAAAGGTTCCTCATATCATGACTAAATAAAAATAAAACTGTAAGATATGAACTCTTGTGTAATTACATTTAAATTTTTATTAAGTCTGGCAACACACATTAGTTTTTTCATGTGCAGTTTCCTGATCAGGAATTCTGGATTGGAGACCCGATTTTATGCTTTGCATACATGTGCCAAATTTATTATTATTATTCTTAAAACCACAACAATATTACACAGTAAAATACTCAAATAAAATCCATATGGATTATTTGCACTAAAACCTAAAACTGTAAGTTTTATTATTGAAACTATATGAAGAACTTTAATTAATTTATATATGTCTATAGCTGATTTATTTATTACGAACTTCCCACATCATATGTATTACTATGATATATATTATTCAGGTTTAGCATGTCATTTAAAAACAGTCCACTATTAACCCGTCACGCGATTAAGTCACAAAACGCACTTGAAGCGTTTGCACACCTGTGTGTTCAAAAAATCGCGAGACGGGTTAACTAAAATTAACAATGAAAAGTTTTCAAAGCAATGTTTCAGTCACTAAACAAACTTCATAATATTTAACATAGATTCAATCTCTAGTTGTCAATTTAATTTAAAAATAATATAATACTAATTGTTCTCTGGTTTACCTGCATTAATTATAGCCTTAATACTCGCATATGATGTAGCCTTCTGGAGTTGAAAGTATTTTCATGATCAGCCCTGCGATTCTGTAAAAATCCAGATCCAAATTCGAATTCACTCATGTGTCCGAATTCACGTTGTTTAGTATAGAAATTCTATAAATTCCATTTTTCATATAAAAATAGAAAACAAAATTGATTGAATATACGTGTCTCAGATATTCTATTTCTATGTCATTTCAAAACTCACTTCAAATATGCCACAAAACGCAGGGCTGATCAGTGTTTCCGAAGATTACCCCTACAAACACACAGTTAAAAACTTTACCTCTATATAATATTAAAAGTAAAGATGCCACAAATTTTACCCAGTCTACTATCTATGGTTTTATGTAAAATTTAAATTAAAATGAGAATTCAACAAGTTGTATTTTATTATACACGGCTTCTTAAGATTTTGGTAGGTAGTTTCCTATAAGTGAAATAATTTTGAATGGCTGTCCAGTGGTTTTTGAACCTATTCAATGCAAATAAACAAAGCTATCCTCTTTATAAGATTAGTATGGATGTTTTCAGTCTTGTAATTCATTATCACTCATATCTATAGTAGAGAGTAGTAACTACTTGAGAACATGTCTATTATTCAATTAATTAACTATTATTATTAGATACCAGTGTAAGAGTGTCCCTAGTCTTAAAATCTAATGCAATTTATATCATCTAAATTAATTTAATGTGTCTTGAAGAGCATTTTTCTTCTGAAGAGCATTTTCTTCAAGACACATTAAATTAATTTAGATGATATAAATTGCATTAGATTTTAAGACTAGGGACACGTTTATAGTGGTATCTTATATTAATAGTTAATTTATTGAGTAATAGACGTGTGCCACCAGTCCCAGATGACCGAAATTAGATTAAAAAAAAGCCTTGTATAAACATAAGACAACTTGATACTCATAAAGCGAAATGACGCAATGAATATTGTTGTCAACAGATAAATAAAGCCATAAAAAGCTATATTCTGGTCAACTAAAAAAGGTATTGTCTGTGTATTTTCAATTATAAACCTAGGCTATGTGATGTCACGCCTACTACTGTACTGTATTGGGTATTAACGACTGCAAATGCAGCCGGGACCAACGGCTTAACGTGCCCTCCGAAGCACGGAGTAGCTCGAGATAATAATTTTTTGGTCACCCATCCCGTGACCGACCCTAGCGAAAGTTGCTTAGCGACAACGATCGCGGGCCGCGATGCTTATCCACTACGCCACCGAGCTATTTTGCTCAAATATTCATAAATTTGTTTAATTTAACAGCTTGATAACTTAACGACAACAGTTCAGTAAACTGCTGGTAAATAAGTTGATTACAGTAAATTAGGCATATAACACAAACAGGAAGATTATTATAGATATTTTGTCACAAACTATACCATCGTAAGTACAGTATGAATGTGGCGGATTTTGTATACAGAAGAAGCTCTTTATTCGCGGAGGATACGTTCCTTAAATATGCCGCGAATACAGAAAACGCGAAAATGGAATGGCATTTAGAATGGAATAAAAGGGGACACGTTCAAAAGTTCCTAAATAAAATCAATATATATGTCAAAATAAATACAATTGAGGTAAGATTGCTTCAAATAAGGGTTTTAAAAAAAAAATATTCACTATCTTTTTTTCCAGTTTTTATAGGTCTTTAATTTCAGATTCATAACTAAGTAACTGTAGTGTTCAAAATGAAGCTTTTTTTTAGAGTATTTAATGAATGCTACAATGAAGCAAAAATTATAAGGCGTTGTAAAAGACATCCCGACACATGCCCGAAGTATTTAAAAGATGACGATGCGTCAATAAACGACGCTGAATTCCTTTATGTTACCGCGAATACGCAGATTTTAGACGCGAGTACAGAAATTCGGTTAAAAATTTTTCACCTGCGAATAATGAAGTCGTGAATAAAGAGCTTCTACTGTACCATCCTGCACTGGCTAATTTAAAAGTGACAGCTTTATCTTTTTTGTGATTTATCGTATACTGCTATTGAGTAAATATAAAGTAAAACGCAATTGAATGATTACGAATGACATATGCAGTGATTTTTGATTTATAGGAATACTTTTCATGTACATTCGTCAGATACGATGCATGATCATCACATGTTCACAGACAGACATGTGACCAATATGTTTGAAGTCTGTCCTTAGATACTGGCTGTCCGCCAGCGGCTTCTCCCGCTAGGTCTCCAGGGAACCGTTTAGTGAAACATAAGTAGCCTATATATTCAAGCTTAGAATCAACCGTATATCAAATTTTACCAAAATCCCCAGTAGTTTTTGCTTGAAAGAGATTGAGAATTAACCCCTAGTTATAATATTAACGTAGTCATTAATTTCTCAGGGAATTAAAAACGAACACTGTTTTTTTCGATCTGGCAAAATTGTGAACTATAGAGTAATACATGTGTATGTATAATTGAGCGTGTTATGAATTATGCTCTTATCTAATTGTGCCTTTTGAGAATTAGCCTATTCTAGAATCGTTAAAATAAGTAAATAAGATTAAGAAGTGTACTGTATCTAACACCGTTGAGATTAAGTGACACAAACTGTAGAAAAGTGACACAGTGTTAAAAGCGCTCTTCGTGATTAAGGGGTGAATCAAATAGACTTCTTTATTAATATTGTACATAGCTTAATAATACATTGAAGTAGCTATTTCTGACTTCGTTCGCGTAATAATTTACGCGACAATTTAGCTTATGTCGGCCGCATTAGAGTAGCTTCTCTTAGTCGAAAGAATTTATAAAGTAGGTATAGTTTCTTCAAGCCCATTCAATTGCAAGCAAATAATAGAATCTTTCTTCTTTAATATTAGTGTAGATAAGTAGACGCGAGACTAGGTACTTATGTAAATTGGTAAACGAGTTATTCGATTTTGTCGCTTTTAATATATGTATATTTTTTGTGAACCCAGTAATGCTATATAATGCTTACAATTTAAATTTGATATTCACACGGAACTCTCGGTGCGGATTTCGTTATAATATATCGCTCATGGGGATGGCATTTTAATTTTTTTTCGTGTAAATAGATAATTCTGTCGTGAGTTCTTTCAGTACAGTCGTGGCGAGAGGTACCAGGCACCGTTCCTCAGATCAAATCGAATAGTTTTTGCTGGGTTGTCCTTGTAGCAGTTTTGACCAATTGACTCAATTTGTGTCATGGAGCGATTTCGTGTGTTACTATTTTCATTGTATATACAATTACCGCATTTCCCCTCTGATGTTTTCTTTTAAGAAATATTCGTTTCTAAAAATAATTACTCACATTTACTTTCTTGCCATATCAATTTTTTTGAACAGTAACGATCCCGGTCGCTTAATATCAACGAAAGAATTGATAATTAAGTCTTGAAATTGTTTTATCATTAATTCATAATATGTAGTATTTTTTTGTTGCAATCCTAGTTTCTTTTTCCTAAAGAAAATTATATTCTTCCGTTCAATTGAATCAGAGTTCATTCGCACTTGAATAGATATGTCCTCCAGTGAGAAAGTAAACATCTTTAATGTACACGTATGTAAAAATCACAAATATGATAAAACTTAGTACAGTGGTTAGCACAAACTAATGATTTATCAGCACATTTTTGCTATTTAATAATAACAAGATAACTACTCACAAATCTTTAGTGAGTAACTTCAGCCTTTGGATAATAGCACTTGATCTTTTCATATAGATCTAATAATGGTAAAGAAAATGATTTTTTTAAATTATTTTTTATTCAAACAAACTAATTACAAGCATTTTTGAATCGTTCAAACTAAAGTGTTGTTTAAAAGAAGCTGGTTTTTGTTTTATACTATGTATGTATGTAGATACCAATATTTGTGCTAGATTGAGCTAGAATAATTATTCGTCGGTGTACTTATTGTTATTTTTTTCTTGTGTTTTTCCGTGATAACAGTCACGATATGCGTTGCATTCAAGGTTATATTGTGGCGGTCGAACTTTAACTCACTTCTGCTTTTGTTCGAACTGTTAACTTGATTATGGCACGCCAACGGCATTTCAAAAGAAACTAAAAACGATGCCGCTAATTTCTTATTTTTTTTTTACCGAACGGAAGTACCCTTAAACCCTTTTATCACTTCCTTGAGCTGTAGAAGAGAAAAAAATTGTTGATGTTAGTGTAATTATGGAATATCTATAGCGCTTGACACACGCACACACACATAGTTCTTGTTACTAGATCGCAAAACAATAAATATATCTGTCACCATTAATTTTGAGTACAATCGCAAAATGCAATTAGCTGAGATCTATCGAAATATTATGTAAAAGGGTAAAAGTAAGCAGAATCGTGGCCCTGGCAGAGGTGGACTACTCTGGAGCTCTCCAGTTGCCAATAATGCTAGAGCCCTCACGCAAAATCCGAGCCCGGTAACTGGCAAAGAACACCCGGGGAAATAATTCCTGGGTAGTTTGACTCGTATCGGCTTCTACCATCTTGTTCAATTCAGCGTTATTCATCTGCGGGTTATTCTTCCACGTGGTATGCTCTTCAAATCGAAGTTTCGAAATTGCATAAGCATTTAGACCAAAACGCACGGTGCGTTCAGTAGCAGTCTGTTTTCCAAACGCAGCATTGATATTGTGGTTCCTTTCGTGTTCGTTGCGCGTGTTCTTATTCGAAGATTACTCGCAATTTCGAATTATTCGTCTTTCCCGTCTAAGCAGAATAAAAAAAACACGATTGAAAGTCGAAATTGGAACATTGCACATTTTTCAAAACAAGAATCTAATGGGTATTACGTGAAAAAAATGTTTCACTCAACAATCTCACACCATGAAGGTTAGTTATTTACGGGACTGCTAACATGTATGTATGTTCCTTATTTCTAAAAGCTGTAATCAAAATTTGCAAGCTAAATTGCACCCGCTTCCCAGTCTCCGTTAGAGCTGAAATTTGAAATACAATGAAATTATATCGGTATTATTTTATCCAAAATGGCCGCTGTAACAAAATGGCAGCGTAGATATTTCTGAACAACTCGCTCAATACGGGTATCAAATGAAAGAGCTTAACTTGTAGAATATAACATACTAAAACAAAGTATGTTTTAAAAAATATTTTATTAAATATAGGCAATTCTATAAGATCATTGATCACGTTGTAACATTGCAACCCATAAATGAATAAATCCCGTAAATACTATAAAGTTCAATGTTTGCTTCTCTCAAGCATGTAGTTAATATTAAATCGCTGTACAAATAAACGCGAATGATTGCTTGATTATGAATGTACACACGTAATTTGGTAGTAGGCATAATAACTCCTCCATAAAACGTGTGATACATTGAGGGGTCAGCGGCCTAGTTCCGCCTGATAACGCACACTTATCAGTAAGTTCGACAGCTGGTAAAATAATGTAATTTTTTATTCCTGTTTCTCGGAACCACAAAGAGATACATTTATTTCAAGCTTAGTTTGAGGAGGATCCTAAATTATTAATAGATTTAGATCAAATTTTAATAAAAAAATTAGAAAAATATATCTATCTATTTTTTTTAAATATATTTTGCCCGCTATCATTCGTGTTCATCTTTATAGTCTAAGAGGTCGTGGCAAAAATATGTACGAGCTTTCTTAAGCTCGATATTTCAGTATGTGAAACTAAGGGTACATAAAGTATTATCACTCGCAGGTCATGTGCCGAAATACATATGTATAGTATACCTATTTCTGATAACGTGCACGAAACAAACAAGTTAATCGTACGTATGTAATGTACTTAAAGGATCCTTTCCCAAGGACGGTGGAAAGTACAAGGAAATTATGAGCTGGACTTGAGATGAAATCATCTGCTATAATAATTTAATTCAATTGATATTTTCAATTGTCAGTTGTAATAATCAGTAAACAGATGGTCCAAAATTTGGTCTCAATTTTGTTTCGTTAATATAAAAGTTTTGATTTAGCTATAAGTATGTGCCAGGAAAATTATGTGAGGTATAAAATAGCCAAGAAAAATAAACTATGTGACTTAACAATATGAGAAATCAATACCAAGACTTATTTCAGTTTTAATAAAGTCTCTTTTCGCATACGCTATATAACTGCTTTCGCGTCCGGTTTACACTAGGATTATTCCGTCCCGCTTCTAAAAATAATATTACATTGAGCAATGTTTAGCATTATAAACAAACAACTCCTACGATTCCTTTGAGTTGAGTCACAATAGGGTTACTACTAAATATAAAAATATTTATAAAAAAAAATATTTTGATAATATCAATAGAAAATTAGCAGAACGAAACGAAATCTACTAAAATCCAACCAAACATTATTCGAAAAGCAAAAGGAATATTTTTTACCCGACTGCAAAGCATTTATTCCAGTCTTTTCAGCTAGTTGTTTTTCACGTAGGCGGGTCTTTTTCTACAATAATGTTACCAAATCTGGGCTTCGCTACAATTCTTAACAAATTTATTTCATTTTAATATATTTTGCATGTTATTATTTTGGTGTTACATTGGTGATTTTAATTATGCGAAAAAATAAAAAGTATATTTATTGCCAAGGAGAATACATTTGTTGTTCTTTTAACATATTATATTATTAATGTGATCATAAATAATAAAAAAAGTGTCGTAGGCGTGACATCCATAGTGTCGCCTAAATTTCGTGACTTTGATGTACTAGGTAAACTAATATTATGAAAATTATAAGCACCATTTTCATAGTAAGGTCTATTACTCAAATTCAAATAATACGTTGAAAAATGTCACGAATCTTCTAGTCTCATTTGTCATTTATTAAATTTTTTTGTCATAAACAATTTTGCGTCTATACTAGAATGTAATTTCAGTTGTGTTATATATGATTTTTGACAAAAATAAATGAGAGAATTGACTAAAATAATTTCTAAAGAGAAAAAAAGACTAACATATGAGCAGTTTTTAAAACAATACTACGTTCGAGTTGCTCGACCGTATTAATACTTGCAACTCATCAAAAATCTCCATTACTAATGCTCAAAACATTCCCTCAAAATGAAATTTATAGTACAGACGAAATTGTGCTTTTCGTGCATGGGAATACGGTATGTAATAGCTTGGAGTTGTTTTATATTATTTTCACATGTCTCCCTAGTCAGTCAAGGATATGGCAATAGAATGTCTCATTACGAATCTCCCGTCGTTAATGGGGTTTTATAACGATTACGTATGAACTATTAAATAATTCACTATAATACCAATCCCAGGTACTCTAAGATGGGCACTACCTTTACACGACCTTTCGCTATCTGGGCGACTATGCTAACAACCCAGAACCTAACAGGACTGACGAATTTTTCAAGCACTTGTTTACTTTTCGCTACTAGTGAGCGTATTTTCATCAATGTTCAGGCAGTCCATCCAAACGTAATATATGATAATGACTAACTAGCTCTTTTTGTAATTTCAGGTTCGTCAAAGATTTCGAAGACGATTTCGTGAGACACAGGCCGACGGCGCGCTTACGGCAATCGGCGTCATTGGGCGCGTCGACCTCTTACAATGAGGTGATACCGCCGCCCCTGCCGCCGCCGCCCGCCACGCTGACGCAGAGCCGCCGCGTCGACTCCTCTCTAAAGCGACTCGAGAGGGCACACGACGACCTGTTCCAGTTGTAGCGGCCGAGGCAGCGCAGGTAATCTTCACAACTAAGTCTAGGGACCCACTCGCAGGGAGCAGGGCCATTATTCGCTATGACTATTTATCGATCGAATATCGAATTAAGGTAAGACATTTGCAATATCTGTGTTATCTATGCAAACTGGAGTAGCTCGGTGGGGTAGAGGATAAGCGTCACGGCCTGCGTTCTTTCTTGTTAAGCCACATTCTATAAGAACTCTTTTGTAATTTTGCATGTAAAATAGTTTTCTTTGAGCGTGAGAACAAGCTAACAGGCCATATCTTTATACCTTGATAGGTATAGTGCTCGGCTCTTTTCTTCATAGATCGAGAAGTTCAGTGCAACTGGCGAGCAATTGTTTTCGAAGCTCGAGATTTTTTTATTTTTTTCATAGTTCTAGAGCAGGGATTCCCAAACTCTTTCGGGCAAGCGTCCCTAGAATGAACCTTAGACGGTTAGACTCCTGTCAAATCAATCAAATCGAGAAATAGTGAAATCAAATCGAGGAGTGGATGTTCACTAACGTTACTACTATGTAGAAAGTCTACAAAGGTGTGACGTCATGTGACATTTCAACTCGTGTTGCCAACCCCAGGAAACTAGAAAACAACAGGTCACCGATATAAAAATAGGAGGAAACAGTAGAAAAAGGCATATTTCACACTGTACTCATATAATAACATACTTTTATTAGTTATCAGGACTTACATACATTGTTATAATACGATATCGGTCACAAAATAAAAGATAAAATGAAACGAAATAAAAACTTAATTATTATCCACTTCCTTCCTCTGTTTCCTCATTTTTTTTATTTTCTGACTCATTTTCCTTTTTAAAATCATACATACATACTTTTGTTGAATTTCTTCAACTTCAAATGTGAAGCAATCGGTTTTTTATGATTATATTTGCATAGCGTTATAGGTGGCGCTGAACGCTACTTGAAAAAACAATAAAAATTAGGAATGAAACAGAAAACAGTAGCATCAATGTGAAAACAGGAAATCTATTGTTAAAACAGAAGGGTGGGTAATATTACCCACACACGCATATACCCCACGCACGCACACACAAATAAATTATGCAGTACATGCACTTTAATTCAAAAAAGTTTTCTTTTTGTTTCTACTTTTATTCTTAAATATAAAAATGTTAATATATACAAACACAGTGCTATGTTAATGGAAGAGCGGGATCTCCCAATACAAGCAAAAGATTTGCTTAAAAGGAGTCTCCAAAACTTACATGTTTAAGATATTGTTTAGATGATGAAATAAACATTTTTTTCATTTTCATTTATAGGTATGCGCGGTTACAATAAACGCGAACGCCTGCGCTCTTACTGGCCGTGACCAGTCCCCGACGTTTGGCGACGACGGTACGACTGCACCAAGTACACTGCGGTGAGCACATGTGAGCATTGCACTATTTTACACAGTCAACGTTAATCGCATACCGGTTTAACCGGTATTTTTTTATCGGATATATTTAACGGTAAAATATGTACGCAATTTGCGTACAGGTGTTTTATAAGCCATCATTCTAATTATAGTGGTATATAGTGGCGTATAATGTAAAAACAAAAAAATTGTGAGCTAAACCCGAGCATGTTACGCTTTAAATAGTTGAATTTTTCTGTTCAAGTATATGGATGACGATAATTTTTTGTTTGTCCGTCGGGTTAGATTAATGAGGAATATTAAATATGTATTTTTTTATTTTCTTTGCGTAATCGATAAATTACGGCGATACGTTGAGTTCATACGTCGCATGACGTCACGCTTTTGTACATTTTCTACAAAACTGTGACGTAGCGAGCCCCCACTCTTCAACTTAAACGCCTATTTTCTTCGCTTCTTGTTTAAATTAAAACAATTCGGACTTTATATTTCTCTATTATCTGACTGACGGACTAAAAAGAGTTTCTTTTTTTATTATCCATTCGTTATCCAACGGAATGGTTGTCTAATTTTTTTACACAAAGATTTATTAAAACTTTGCACAGACTAGTGTTAAATGTTTCAGCGTTTGTGATTTTATAATGTAAAAAGTATTACTATACAATAGTGTTGAGTTTACGAATGCAAAAGTAAATGTACCTATGTAAGAAAAAAAAAATCTCCAACTCACATGTCTCACTAAAGATGTAAGTGATGTACATGAAATTTATAAATAACCGCTTTTAGTTAGTAAAATATTATTCAGGGCTTGGTTATGGTTATCCAATTCATACTATACCTACTCATGTGTCATCCGAATCAGGTTAGCTAAAAATCATTTCATAATGACTATATGGCAGCTAACTGACTTGATTACTTTTGGCAAAGTTGCTACTTTGGAAACGTAGCCACGACCTTAAGGATTTAAAGAATTATAACATAACGCTTTTTTTATGTTTGACAATATTTTCCCCAATAATTTCTCAGTCTGCATGATTTTACATACAATTTCGTATGGAATTAGTTCCTTTTCTAAGATTTCTGATCAATATCTTCTGCATTATTCATAAAAACTTTATTTGCTTTCAATCATATTCGAGTTTGTTTTTTTTTTCTGCTAGGTATATTCTTTAATTTTAGCTGTTATATCGTAGAGCGAATGTGATGTTATCTACAGCCCTGATATAATGTAATCTATTAGTTTAGAAAAAATATCATACTTTATTAGTTAATTACAGTAGTGCCACAAAATATGAAATTTTCTATAAAATTCCTATCAACTACTTACTCTAGGCTCTACTCTACCAATACAGACCTTGTTACACTACTTGTAAGGGTGAATATGTAGTGACAAACGAACTCGTGTTATCTCGCTCGTAACATGTGTAATTTGCGTAGTGTAAAGGCAAATGGCGGGCGACAAAATGGCGCATTTGCGTTCGACCAATAGCGAAGCAGCATTTGCTAATTTTGTAGTGTTAACGGAAAAAGTGCTTCATTTTTCATTTTTGTGGTACTACATGAAGACGACGAGTGCGGCATAATAAGAAAATTTCATTATTTTAAATATGTAAAATCCGTTTACAGTCCATAATTTTGACGCAAATAGCGAAACTTTGAAAATTATTTTAGTAGAACTTTAGAAAGTATAAGATTCCAGATCGTGGTTTATTTTTATAGTTTGTTATCGGTTTGAATTTGGTATGGTATGTATAGGTTCCTAAAATGTGTCGCACTTGATCGGAACTTATTAATTAAATCAGTCATAAAACTGAACTATTGAATGTTATCTTTATTATATGTCATATTACTATAGCGTGTATAGCATATGTTTTATTAGACTACTTCATCTTGTGATTTTAGGCATAATTTTGAAAATCAAAAGACTATTATTTTCGCTCTTTTTTCTTAATTTTAAAGTCGCCTTTTTGTATACGTAGACAGCAACAGTTCGTTAGGTTGTCACGTTAGCTTCAAAATTTATAATTTAATTTGTTATAGTTTTGGACAACCTAATGTGCTTTCGAGTGTACTTTAACTTGTCACAAAAATCAGTATATGTGTATATTTGGTCAGATTTATTAGGCATTTAATGAACGTGAACTGAAATTTTGTATGTGTTATGTACATATATTGTATTAATTGGCATACTTATTATTTTATTGAAGTCCATAGGGCCTTGATAAGTTCGAAATTGATCGTTTTCAAATTGAGTAGAACGTACATTATGCTTTATTTATTCTATTCTAATATGATAAAGAGTGACCAAAACTTAGTTGAGATTTTATTTACCTTCAAGAAGATACATGACACCAGATGGTTTGGATTTGGGCTATAATATGTACGTATATATTATATATGCTACCGGCAGTCTGTATAATCCGGTATTCTATACAATACCTACCTACATGGCATGGCCTGAAAACAATTTCACCTCGCTACGCTTTGCGATCGCCTTCATTTGTCACGTGACCTACAGAGACAAAGCAAATCCTTAAATACATTTTGGTTCGTATATATCTATGTTTTTTGGTATGACCGCCTTAGTCTCTAGCAGTAACTCTAGCCCAAACCGGTTTAGTGATATCAATGATCGCGTTGCTTTTCTTTTTTTTTTTACTATAGATTTTTAATTATTTATATATTTCAGACATCGTTGTAAATTTCAATTTTCGAAATAGCTTTCTTTGGTTTCATTTTTTTTGAATATATTTTCATTTACTCGACGTATTTCTAGATGTTCATACATTATCTCGGGTACGTTATGCTATTTTCTTGTTATATTAAATATGTTTATTTTTAAACATCAACCAGTTAAGTTTTGGTGTTAAAGATTGCTTAAGGCATCAAGTAGTCTTATCGGACACTGTCATTCTATACAATGCGTTGATATTGTATAGAATACTTGAATTATACAAATTACCGCTGACATATAAATCATTATATAGTTTAAGCAATACGAGTGATCTAAAATTAATTATAAATAATTAGCTTTTTTTGTACTGCTGGAACTTAAAGGATTTTTAATTGTAGCTTTCTTTTATATCAATACTTTTATTAACTTATATGGTAAACAGTTTTAAATACGGATCATCAATAAATTATATTGTATAGCTCTTGGATGTCAGATTAAAAGCGTTAGATCTTATTTCGCAAACTTTTAGTGAATGATATTTAATTGGAAAGTCTCATAGAAAATAAATAAATGTCAGTACTCTTTTATTAGATGTTCATGTTGAAGTTGTTAAGATTCATTTGTTCAAGCTTAGTGTTGACAATAAATATATTTAATTACACGACAAACTGTGACTAATATCTTCAATCGACTTTGAGTCTAACGTTCACCAGACTTTGGTTCAAAATCGCTTGCTGATTGGTTCAAATTTTAAGAAATCTGACCCACTGTTATTTGTTGACATTTTTTGTCTAATATTCTCGTTGCAATTGCGCTTTTATCTTTTGACGGATTTTAAAAAGCTTTTCTAGTGAATTTTTGCTTTGTAAAATTGGCGTAATCATATTATTTAGAAAAGTCGAAAACTACTCTCGTTCTCCTTTCATATACAAGACACTCTAAACAATTTCAAACAAGAAATTTATTTATACGTTTAATTACAGCGCTTTGCTTCCACGGTTTGACATTGTTGAAACTGTATGGGTTGAGGAGTCTTTTGAACAATAGGACTTATTAATGTAATTT